TGAAGCTTTCTTGCGTGTTTCTTTGGGTTGATACATGGTAGTTATCCGAACAACGGTAGCTCAATAATGAAAGTAACCATTTCTTTTTTTTCTGGTTTGCCCAGGCGTCAGGACGAATATTCACTGCGGTAAACTAATGTAGTCGACTGATTAATAGCAGCTGCTAAAGATTTGAAGTGGAATGACACATCAAATATTATGCAATCCCTTCCTTTTTTCTTTTCCAAGACATAATGATGAAAATTTCACGTTGTTAAGTTCTAATTCATTGTTTTTCTTATCAAAATCTCCCTGTTAACGAGCGATTTTGACCCCTGCCGACTCTGTGTCTGTGAAATCATCTTGAAGAAATAACAAATCAAAACTATGAGGAAATTTGCATTGGGTAAACCTCAAATGACACTTGTTCTTCAAAGGCGGTAATAATTTGAATCTCTAAAAAGGTGCATGGGGTATGTAAACAAACTTGTCGAAGCTGTGCGCCAATATTAGGAGAGTCTGAAAACAGTGGTTAGACTGAAAAGCGAACAAAGGGTTAAAACAAGTGACGATCTGCATAACAAAGAAAACTTCAGGACTCTAAAAGATGTCAAGCGAATTCGTACTAAAAATAAGTGAACCCATGTCGCGTTAATTACGTACAATAATTTCGATCGATGTTCCCTTAAGTAAACACAGCAATTTCCTAATCCAGATGAAGAGATTAAATAATCGAGGATAAGATAAGAACTGGCGAAACTTTGTAAACGGTGATGAATTGTCTAATATCGATTTTATGGCGTGCTAGAAATTTAGGGATTAACTTAAAATGTAAGATCATAATTAGTGCCTACGTGGTACGTAAACACAATAGAAAATATTTTAATTCTCAAATAGATTTACTAACGTTATGCACTACATAAGAAATCAGCTGAGGAAATACTGTTTCCCTCAGGGTTGGAAAGTTGTATTTGACTGGTTTATAGGTAGATTCTATCTGTATGACGAAAAAGATGCCTTCTTATGTCCACTAATCCTTCCTATCCAGATACAACATGTCCTTTAGGCATGACTACGTAGTTTCCCTTAGCAACAATAACTTTCACTGAATAGCGTAGATTACTTACAGCCCCTTTACATTTTTCCGCTGCTATGCAACCGCAGAGAGATGCATGGATAGAAATACATTTTGGGCTTGTAAAACAAATTGTAAAATTTGATAAACACATGTTTGTTTCGAAAGCGGACTC